GAAGACGCAGAGACTGAGATAAATGACTGGCCGAGTTTGAGTTCTCGTAGCTGGTACGTGAGGTTCTGCCTCGTGCCAGGCCTCTGACCACCCCTCCCGTGCTCTCCACCGCTGCACGCTTGCCCTCTGATTTGCTGTACGATCGTGGGGAAGTTGGGTGCCCTGTTCCAAACTCAGTTTCTGCATCTCTAAAGTGAAGGGATTGCCTTTAGTTTCAGTCCAGGTTGAAACCAATGGAAGGAGTCCTGATCTGCCCCACCTCTGAGGCATCCCCCTCTGTCTGTGGTGCTCGGAGCCATTTAAAATCTTATGTGTTTTTATTTAACTAGACTAATGTATAAATGACTCATTTATAACAGTTATAAACTTTTTTTTTGATATTAACACTTTTCAGCAGTTAGTCCATTTTATATGACAGCTATGATTCCAGTTATGGAACATAAACCTTATACTAGAAAAGGAGATCAGAAATTTAAGTATATTTGGACATTACAAGAATACATCTTGATGGTACTCAGAGAATTAATAGATTGCATTGCTGTTCAGTAAGTGATAAATGAGTGCATAGTCAGCCCTAGAGTTTGTTTGTGGTCCATAAGAATGCCAAAAGGAGCGTGAAATGTGATCCCTGCACTCAGAAGCTTATAGTCTCATCAAGGCATTGTCGCCAGGTGTAATCCCAAATTTTTCCATTAGCGTTTTCTAGCAAAATTGTAGTTTCTTTAATAAAAGTGTTCCAGGTTAGCCCATTAACTCGTGAAGCATTTAGTATATTTCCATAATTCCTCTAGGTCCATGAAATACACTTTCTCCAGGTACTTGTAGTTTGCTGTGATGTGCAGATAGGTAATGGCAGTTACACACCGTGATTGTATAGAAAAAGAAAGCTCAGGATGTGAAAGAGGCGCAGAGAAAGCACAACCTGGGGCTGTAGGAGATTCTTCCAAAGAGATGATGGAATAATTAGAAATGATTTTAGTGTACGAGAATATACTAGGGCCTTTATATAAATCTTTTCATTTAATTCCTTTATCACCTTAAAGGGTGTGGGTCATATTGGTCCCATTCATCACATAAGGAGACTGAAGCTGTAAAGGCACAAACCCCATCCAGCTCCTAGACAACTCTTCACTCGCTTGAATAGCTGTGTTTTAAAGAATGTCCGGGGAAGAGAGAATGGAGGGCGGTCAACAGAGAATGAGGAAAAGATACGGGCCTCTGAGAGCATCACATTGGCTGTTAACTTGATGTATGAATGAAACTAGAAGTAACGTAGCTGGGTTTTTGTAGAAATAAGATTTTTGTTTCCTATTTTAGGTATTTTGCTTTCTAGGTTTTTTTTTTCCCTTCCTAAATTCTAAAACCCAAATTAATCTTGTCTTCTTTAGAACTAGCATATTGGATAGCTGTGCATTTATTCCAACTTTTCTTCAATTTTAGAACTTTGCTTTGGATATAGATCTCATTTCTGAAATAGCCAACTTTATTTTGTTTTGGGTCTCTTTACTAAGGAGACTAGTTCTTTTCTGTGTGTCTCATAAACTGGTCCTGAAGGCAGTTTCAAAAGAAAATGGCACAAAGACTTATGAACAGGGGCAGCTTCTTTGGGGTGATCATGGCCTCCGGAGGAAGACTGTTGAAAGGCAGCTTTAACGTAGATGTAAAAATGCTGCCATGTGGCCTTCACTCCGAGTCATCCACTCAAATTGATACGCTCAGTATTTTCTGCCCCTGTGGCCCAGGGGACATTTTCTAGTCTGCCCTTCACTCTTCGTGTGGCGATAGTGTCTCGGATCCAGTTAAGCAAACAGAGTACACATAAATATCACACTTTCTGGAGTCAGACTGTTCTCTTACCAGATAAAGCTTAATTAAATGACTATTTGGCCGTCGAACAATCTGATTACATTAGGTTTCATTTACCAGTTTCCTAGGTCCAGTACATCTGAAAGACAGGACAAGTTCAAACTGTTGTATTAAGTAAATGTGGACTAGAGTTGTAGAATGCTTGCAAGGAAGAGCATAAGACTCACGAGCACTTGTCTTCATGATTAGATTTCCTGGATTTGCAAAGCCTGGAATGGAACAGTATCTGCTGGCCAAGCAGCTAGCAAAACCCAAAGAGAAAATTCCCATCATTGTAAGTTTGTCTTTTTTTTTTTTTTTTGCTTTGTTTGTAAGTAATCTCTTTTGTAATACCTTAAAGCTGAGAGGGTTATTAGTCATTTGGAAAGTATTTTTAAACACATTTAATGCTCCAAGTAAGTAACTGACAATGTGTGTTACTGTTTAAAGAGCAGGAAAGATCATTAGCATAAATTAATGCCCATCATTATATTGTTTAGGTATTCTTATTTTTTACCTTTCAGACTATTAGTAATTGAGCCAACAACACCCATAGAATGTATTTTTTTAATAATTTTTCTTTCTCTAGAGTATCCTGAAGTATCTTGCTTGGATAGGCTGTTTTTCTACCAGCCCTATATATTTAGCTAATAAATCCAATTCAGATATTTAGGTTTCTACCCTGGCAAAGTACTTGCATGTTATCAGAATAAGTTGCCTTTTCCACAGTGTTGTTAATAATCTTTCTTTCAATAAACCAGCTAGCACGTCATGATATGGAGCTACCAAATACAATGCCAGGAGTGTGTACACCATTAAGAATATCTGCCTCCGAGTAGCTCATTACATGACATGACACAGGCGCTGTGGTTTCACCCAGTGTTAATTGCTGGTAGATTTTCTAGCTAGCTAGCTGCATATTTCCAGATGAAATTCTGGAAGAGAGGACCATAGCTGCCTTCTGACCCTGTTGATTTAATCCTGTAACTGTAAGTTAGGGGCAGGGCGGGAGGGCAGGGGCCCTAGAATGTAATCACCATGGACTCAAACAAGGAGGAAACATCTGATCCTATTCTGTAATCTTGGGGTCCTGGGAAACTTGATAAAATTGCAAGAATGATACTGGATTTTTTATATTCCTTATTCCTACTTCTTAGAAAAGCTTGAAATCCTAGAAACCTCCAGAGAGAAGGGCTGTGGCCAGGAGCCCTTTTCTCCTTCTTCCCTCAAAACAAACTTGAGTAATTATCTTCTGAGTGGTTAAGTTAAAGATTATTTTAGATTTGTTTTCATATTTCTTTAGACTTTCTTATAAATACTGAATATGTATCCTTGTTCTTTTCATTAAATTTAAAGCTCCACAGAATTAGGAGGCTGTGGCCCTGCCCCTCGGATGCTCAGAGGGGACTTTGTCACAAGTATGATAGTGTCGGATCAGAGCTAAAGGACCCCAGCATCTGCGTTGTCCCACACATTTTAGGTTGAATCTGGCCCGCGTACCCTGTAGGCCGGCCTGCCTGCCTGTGTGGGCTTCTTGTGTGGAAAAGGAAGCTGAAGAAAGCCATAGAGTCTTCAGAAAACCAAGAGAAAGCAGAGACCTGGTTCTTTGCTTTTAAGGCCCAGTAACCGCACCCACTAGTAAAGTGTGACCCTGTGGGTACTGGGCCCCGGTTGATAAGAATTGCCTCTCTTGGTCCCAGTTACTGAGAGAAATTCCCAAAAGGTTCCTCTTAAAGATTCCTGCTCTGCATTTAAGAGCGTTTTCTGGACCTGGGCTTCCTCTTGGAGAGTCATTGTAACTTGTTGTCAGAGACTTTCAGTCCTTTATTAAAATTCTCTGGGTCCCACCCACTGTCCTGACCTAATAGCCTCTGAGCTTTCCTGCCCGGCCTCACTTTTTCCTTCTTTCACGTTTAAAAATAATTGGGACTGAGTTTACAGCAAGTGAGAGTAAGTGTTGAGAAAGTTTGCTGGGATTTGACATTGTTGAGACATCCTAGTGTGTCATTTTACATTTCACAGAGCTATTGGTCTGCAATAGACTTGAAATTTTTAAAAACAGCCCTTAATTACATACAACTAAGACAGCTGGACAAGAGAGAGAAAAACTGTGTTCCATCTAGCACTCTTCTAGAGGCAAGGCTGTCTCCATGGCCTGAGATGCCCACATGGGAGCAGAAGGGCTTGTCCCGTGAAGTGTGTTCTTTAAATGTAACCTTAACAGGAACAGAGAGCATTTATGTAACTCCTCAAAGAAGAGCGAGAATCACCCTCTAAGGACTTCTAGTCCTAAGAAGAATCATTTGATGACTTACATCAATTGTATTTATCATTTCTCCATGTAACAGAATTAACTCTCCCTGCAATGTTGTGTAGGTTGGAGATTATGGCCCAATGTGGGTTTACCCTACCTCTACATTTGACTGTGTGGTAGCAGATCCCAGGAAGGGCTCCAAGATGTATGGTCTGAAGAGCTACATCGAATATCAGTTAACACCGACTGTAAGTATCCGAGTTACCAAAACAGAATCGTGCTTGCATCGCTAGTAACAGTTTGCTTTTTTCTTCATTTTCTGTAGGTGGCATTAGTAACTTCTTTCTTTCTTTCCCTTATTTTGTAGAACACTAATCGATCTGTAAATCACAGGTATAAGCACTTTGACTGGTTATATGAGCGCCTCCTGGTTAAGTTTGGGTCAGCCATTCCAATCCCCTCTCTTCCAGATAAGCAAGTCACAGGTGAGTGTGTGTGACACTGAACTCGGCGTGACAAATAAAAAGACTCCAGTTAGAGTATCCTAATGTAAACCAGCAATGGCGTTTTCCATCCTCAAGTGGAGCAAGATGTAGGAGTTTGGAAACAGTGACTAAATAAAACCATATATATACATACACACACACACACACACATACATAGAAGTTACCTGAACACCTAACAAGAAGGTTTCATAAAATTTTCTATCAGAGCTCCTGTATACATATGTAGCTTGAATTCTGGCAAAGTCACTGTGTCTTTACTGCTTCATCTTTTCCAAGTCATTGTGTCTTTATTGCTAACCCTCTCCTATAAAAGAGGTATATGCATTTTTTAAATGTGAAAATGACACCTGAGAAAATAGAAAGGATCCAAATAGCCTAAAATGGAAATAAAAATGTATGTCCCAAATGACGTAAACACATTACACAGTCCAGCTGTGTCGTTTCATTAGAAGTCAGTAAACCTCAGCTGTAGAAGCCATAGACTGTCAAGGTATTAGTGAAAGAGGTTAGTAAGTTTTCTCCTCAGTTATTTGTATATTTAAATATTTCTGTTTGTTGTTGATTATTACCCTCTCCCTTTTCTTATTTGTTTAGTGTCATGTTTCCCCACTCCCCCCACCCCAAATAATCTAGTAAATAACTCACCGTGCTACCAGAGCCCCTTGTAAATATGCAGTTGGAGAGTATTTGTTCCTGTCTGTTTTGAGAACTGTCATTGACTTTTTTTAATCTCCAACCTAATAACAGAAACTGGAATGTAGTTACTCAGGAGTCAGTTTATTTCTTTTAGAACAAAAGTTTGTAAAGAAACTGAGCTTTACATAGAGATTAGAAAGGGTTTCCATATGTAGCTCGAAAATGTTTAGATGAATGAAACTGTAAGTGTAGAAAGGAGAGGATCAGAGATGAGAGTGAGACTTAACAGGTCATAGCTAGAAAGGCTCTCAGAGAGGTGAGGTCATGGAGATGCTCGCCTAAGCCAGTAGAGAGAGGAGGAGCGGGTCCCCCAGAGGTCAGGGAGACCGAGACAGGTTAATCCTCACTGGCAAAAATTGAGACAGATCGTTTAGAGAGGGACTGAGAATCTTAACTAGCCAGATGGCAGAGCCAGCTCAGACGTGGTCAGCGATGCAGTGAAGTCTGTCCCTACGTGCCAGGCGTCCCACGTGCCCGGGCACTTCACACACGTGCCCTCACCTCAGGGACACGCCACAGGCCCCACTCAGTGCTGCGAGAAAGGGGACTTGAGGGTGGTTCCAGAGCTTGCTCTGTTCACATTATGAGATATGGCCTAGCTCATCTTAGAATTAGAACCTTAGAATAAGAAAGTTATTCTCCTTAAAACTTGACTTTGTACTTTACTTTGTGTTATGTTTATGTTTCTCTGAATTTTTGAAAAGATGGAAACTTGGTTTTTAAACACGTTTTGATTTTGATTTTGGGGGGAAAACTTCTCAAAAATTTCGAAGTGTCATAGCAGAACGGAGAGTGGGGCTGCACTGCCAGGCTGACAGGCACGTCCGAGCCCTCGTGTCGGGTGACCTCAGGCAGCTCCTCATGGAGCTGGGGCAGCTGAGTGACAGCCCTGTCGGGGTGGCCAGGTTGGCGTAGACATGTCATTGCACCCCCAGTTCTGTGCCCAGTTCAGATGCTAACTAACCCTCTTTTCAGTCATCCTTACTGTTTTAAATCACAGCTTTTTAAAAATTTAGATCTCTTTCCATGAAAACTTAACTTCTGCCTTTCTCCATATTTTCAAGTTTCAGTCTGTTTCCTGAGTCTCCTCTCCTTTATTAACTTGATTAGCACATAATATGTGCTCTGTGATGTTTAAATAAATGGATGAATGAGCTGTCAGGGTCATGAGGATTTCTCCTGTCTCTTAGGTTTTAACACTGTTTATTTGAAATCAAATAATTCAGTGCCATCTTAAAGCATCGTAGTCACAGTTGTCCCATAGTAAGATTTGTTGTTTTTTTTTAAAAAAAGTTCAGGCCTGAAGCTAAGGGGATGTCATAGAAAAGCAAGAAAGCAGCGGCCCCTCAGTCTGAAGAAAGCTGAGCTTTGATTCCCTGGCTGGGACATGTGCCGAGGAGACTGAAAAGCACAGAAGCCACTTTATTTCTCCCTTCTCTTGTCTGCCTCCTGCCTTTGATGCCCACAGGATCATCATTATATAAACTGCCCTCTCGCTTAAATCCTGGGGCAAAGAGGATGCCAAGTAGATGATGTCATGACATTTCTGTGGACTTAATAATCAATCCACGGAAAGCTTACAGCTAAGATTTTTTTTAATTTGTGTTAATAGATTTTGTTCTTTGTGGAATAATATTGAATGAATCTGGTTTTATTTCTGGGTGCCAGACTGGTATATTCACATACTTAATGAAAACCTAAGTAAGGGTCGTAGAAAATGGGAAAATGGAAATCCCTCCTCCCCCCCTTTTTTTTAAATTCTCTGGAACCTGATATGAAAATCCTAACAAGCGCAAGATAACATCTGAAGTCACAGTCTGGGAGTAAACCTGCTATGTCAGAAACCTTTTCAGGAGGAGTAAGGATCATTAAATTAACTAATTAATTTCAGCCAATGAGTAAGTTAGAAACTCTTGGTACAGTTCACTCATTCATAATAGAGAATTCAGTATAACCCTTAGCTCCATGCTGATGTGTGGGGTCTTTTTAATTTATGAGGTGGGTCATCTTCTGCAGAGCTTAAGCTTATGTGTTACTTAATCTCTACTCCTGGTAAGTGCAAAATTTGAAGTGTTTTAATGTACAGGAGGTGTCCAGACCCATCATGCTGTTCAAGGGGGCCACTTTTTAGGAGGTTTTGATACATGGGTTCATAGTGCTCTTCTCATCAAAAGAAACTTGTGCTTATTTGTACTTGTAATTTCTTTTAACTTATATACAGTAAATCCATTCCTTTTGGTGTACAGTAAGTACTAAGAGTTTTGACAGCTACCACCACAGTCTTGTAACCATCAGGACATTCAAGATACAGAAAGTTCCATCACCTCCCCAGATTTTCTTGTGCTGGCCCTTTATAGTCAGCCCCTCCCCCTTATCCTAACCCACAGGAACACTGATCTGTTCTTTGTAGTTTCCTTTTCTGGAATATCCTTATAAATGGAAGCATACAGTGTGTGTGTAGTCTGGCTTTTGAATCTTTTGAGTCTGGTTTCTTTTACTGAGATCAATCTCAGATGCTGTCCGGTGAGTGTCAGTGGTTTGTTTCTTCTTGGTGAGCAGTGTTTCACTGTATTGCATATACCATAGTCTGTTTATCCACCCACTCACTGAAGGATGTTTGGGTTTCCGGTTCTTGACATTTATAGATAAAGCTGCATACAAGTTTTTGTACAAATGCAAGTTTTCATTTCTCTTGGGTAAATACCTAGGACTGGAATGATTGGGTCATATGGTAGGTATATATTTTATGTTTAAGAAATTGCCAGCTTGTTTTCCAAGGCGGCTGTACCATTTTGGAATCCCTGCTAGCAGTGGATGGGAGTGTCAGGGTCTCCACATCCTTACATACACTTCTGATAGTGTCGTTTTTTCTTTATTTTAACAAGTCTAATCGTCTGTGTAGTGGTGTCTCCTCATGGTTTTAATTTGTGTTTCCCTAATGACTAGTGGTGCTGAGCATCTTTTCATGTGCTTATTTCCCTTCCATATATTTTCTTTCGTGAAGTGTCTGTTCAGATCTTTTGCCCATTTTTTATTAGATTGTTTTCTTATTACTGAATTTTGAGACAGGATTCTTTGTATATTCTGGAAACATGTCCTCTGTCAAATAATGTGATTTGCGAATAGTTTATTCGAGGTGTGACCAGTCTTTCTCTTAACAGCGTCTTTTGCATAACAACACCTTTTAACTTTAACGAAGTCCAGTGTGTCAGTTGTTGCTTCTCTGGTCTGTGCTTTAGGTGTCATGACTAGGACCTCTTTGTCTAACACAAGTTTACACTGATATTTTCCTCTAAAAGTTTCATAGTTTTAGGTTTTACGTTTAGGTCTGTGATACATTTTGAGTAAAGGTTTGTAAAAGATGTGAGATGTGCTAAGGTGGTAGAGGTTTATATTATACATCTGGGCATCTAGTGGTTCTTTCACTGTATGTTGAAGAGAGTGTCCTTTCTCTGTTGAATTTCCTTTGCACCTTTGTCCAAAAGTCAATTGAACATATTTATGTGGGTTTATTTCTGGACTCTGTTCTGTTCCTTTGATTTATGAGTCCATCCCTTTCGCCAATATCGTACTACCATGATCAGTGTAGCTTTATAGCACAGTAAGTCTTTAAATCAGGTACTGTAAATCCTCCAACTTGGTTCTCTTTCAAAATTGCTTTTGGCTATTCTTTGTCTTTTTGCCTTTCTACGTAAATTTAAGAGTCAGCGTGACTGTTTATAGTCAGATAGCTATAAATAATCATGCTGGGGTTTTTATTGGAATTTCATTGATTCTTTAGATCAGTTTTGGGAGAATGAAATGTCTTCTAATCTAAGACCTTGCCTGTATCATGTTTGCTTTCCATACAGGGTTTTGTAGTTTTCAGCACACAGATTCTGTACGTAGTTTCATAGATTAATATGTAAGAATTTCATGGGGAGGGTTCTATTGTAAATGGCACTCTTTGTTTTTTAATTTGTTTTCCAGGTGTTTGTCGCCTCTGGAGATGCAGTTGACATTTGTGTATTGACCGTGTATCTGCAGCTTTGCTCAAACTCACTAGCTCCAGAGGTTCTTTTGTGAATTCTCTGGGATTTTTTTTAACGTAGACAGTCTCGAAACAAAGGCAGTGTATTTCATCCTTTCCAGTCTGTGTGCCTTTTGTTTCTATTCCTGCCTTATTGAGCTGATTAGGACTTCCAGTATAATGTTGAATAGAAACGGTGAGAGCAGACATCTCTGCCTTGTCCCCAGTCTTAGGAATAAACCATTGCCTTTCACCATTAAATATAACGTTAGCTGTAAGGTTTTTGTAGATGCCTGTTTATCAAGTTAAGGGACTTCCCTTTTATCCCTAGTTTGCTGGTAGTTTTCTTCATGAATGGATGCTGAATTCTCTCAGATGCTTTTTGTGCATCTGTTCTGTTGATCACATACATGCACACCCCACCATGCATGATGAGTCTTTTTTTTAAAGAATGTTTTTATTTTTTAATTTTTTTTTAGTAGTTGGGAAAATTAAAGGCAGGTTTGGTGAGATACGAAAATTATTTCAATTCAAATTTCAATCCTAAACAATGTCTTACTGGAGCACAGGCCTACTCCTTGGTTTCCGCCTTGTCCGCAGGTGCTTTTGCACTACAGTGCGGAGCGGAGTGGCTGCAAAGCCTCTAAAATATTTACTGTCTGACACACGACGGAACAAGCCTGCTGGTCCCTGCCGTAAGTCCTACCCATGATGAGTCTTTTTCCGCTGCTTTCTGAATTTTCTTTTTGTTTTTTCTTCCAGTGGTTTGATTCTGCTGTATCTTATTGTGAGTATCTTTATGTTTATCCTACTGAGGTTTGCTGAGCTTCCTGAAAGTGTAGATGAAAGTTTTCTGTCAAATTTGGGAAACTTTCCCCCATGGTGTCTTCAAATATTTTCTTCTTCTTTCTTGCTTCTCCTTTGGGGGCTCCCTTTACAGGTATGTTGGTGAGCTTGATGCTTTGTGAGGCTCTGTTCATTTCACGTCAGTTTTTTCTGTTTCTCAGATTTGATAACTTCTATTGATCTATCTTCCGATTCACTGATTCTTTTGTCATCTTGAATCTGCTCTTGAGCCCCTATAGTGAATTTTTAATTTCAGTTATTTTCAATTCCAAAATTTCCATTTGATAATTTTTTAAAAAATTCTGTCTCCCTCTTGAGAATCTCTGCTTGTTGATTCCTTGTCCTAGCTTTCTTTAATTTTTAAAACATGGCTTCCCTTAATTCTTCAAACATATTTATAGAAGCTACTTTGTTTGCCACTTAGTTTTGTCTTTTTTCAGCATCTGGGGACACAGAGACAGTTTCTATTGACTGCTTCTTGTTTTCTCAGTATAAGCCATACTTTGCTGTTTCCAAGCGTATTTCTTAATTTTTTGTTGAAAATTGGACATTCTAGAGAATATATTCTAACAGCTCTGAATTCTGTTTTTCTCTTCTCTGAAGGTCATTGTTGTTTCTGCTTTGCGTTTGGTTGGTTGCTTGGTAAATAACTTGCCTAGGCTAAGTCTCTGAAATCTGTTTTCCCTAAGTCAGTTATTTTTGTTATTTCTTTTAAGTTTGGCTTCCTAGGGTTCACTTCGTGTCTATAGATTGATGGTAAGCCTACCTTAAGCCAGTAAGCCTTCTGTCCTTTGCTGACGGATCTGTGTGTGGGTAGGGAGCACATTCAAAGCTCAGATTATTTCAGGTCAGCCACCCTTTTACTTTCTTGTAGGTCCTTTTGTGTCTCTCTTGCATATGTGTGCAGACTCAGAGTTGGCCAGGGGAGGGTGTGGCTGTCTTGGACCTGAGCTAATCTCCGCTGTTTCTGCACACGGCCTCCACCAGGATCATGCTTGGCTCAGCCGTGCAGCCTTACCTAGTTAGCTGTTGGCCCTCCCTGTTCACCAGCCTCTGGGTTGTCACTGCCACCAGCACCGAGTCATGGCATCTCCCATTGCTCCAGATCGAGTGCACCTCACCAGGGAAGCTGAAGCCGCCAGTCTTCACAGCCTGCTCCGCCCTGGCAGAACCACTTCCACCAAGTGTGGGTGGAGAGGTGCAGAGGCAGCAGAGGGAGATGGGAGCGGACCCAGGCCGGAGCACCACAGGTTTCCACTTCTTGCCAGAAGTTCAGCAGTTTTGCGAGCATGAACACTTCTCACGTGGCTGTCTGCCTTTGGTTGATTTCCAGAGCACTTATATTTTGGTGGGGTTTGTCCAGCTTTATAGTTGCTTTTGGGGGCTAGGATGAGCTGAGTGTTTGTCGCACTTGGCTGTAGCCGAAATTTCCATCTTCAGAAGCCTTTTAACTGATAGTGATTTTGTTCGTTAGGCTTATAAAACTTCTCAATGTTCACTTGATGTTTGGTATCATCAGGTTTGTTAAGCTCATTTTCTACTTTTAAAATAGAAATACCACTCATTAAGCTCTGTTTTAGGGTGGTTGTAAGTTCTGGGATGGCAGCTTTCATTACTGCATTCATGGAAAAATTGCTTTTTCTCTTTTCCATTTACGGAGTTTAAAAATCAAAACAGAAAAAAACTACATCCTCAGTTATTTTTCGTAAATACTGAATTTAAATTTGTATATTTGAGATTATATTGCATTTAGACACATTTTTATAAATATAGAAATATCATGTACTTTGTAGGAATTACTTATTGATTTCCATTTTATCACTCTTTTCTTGCCTGTCGGACTTCATATGGCCACACAGGGACTGGCATGTTAGTTTATAAAAAAGAAAAAGGTTTTCATATTGAGATAAAATCTGCTTTCAAATTTGTTGAGTACCTTTCCCGTGGGTCTTTGAGCATTCACTGTGCTGCTTGTTTTAGGTGAAAAGTGACCATGGTCTGCCTTTTACTAAGTAGCTCTCCACCAAGTAGCCAGTGGCTTTTCAGTTATGGTAACAGTAATTCATCTTCGACAAAGTTGCACATCGCTCTCGGCATGTCCCTTGCAGGTCGCTTTGAAGAAGAATTTATCAAAATGCGCATGGAGAGACTTCAGGCCTGGATGACCAGGATGTGTCGCCATCCAGTCATCTCAGAAAGTGAGGTTTTCCAGCAGTTTCTGAATTTCCGGGATGAAAAGGTAGGACGTTTTATTGTGATAATCTTAGAGGATAGTGAGAACTGTCACATTCACACCAATTTTATGTCTGAAAGGAGTTAAATCATGTTGGTTAGTCGGTTATTTCTCACTTCCTCCATAGGCAATGAGGGGACAGAAACCTAAATCCCAACCACGGGAAATTAGTCTTAGCATGTGAGAGAGATGCTGCCAGAATGGTTTCCCATGAGCCAGGGCCCGGTGGACTGGCCCAGTGTGGGCAGGGGTGAAGAGGGTGATAGCATGTGCAATTTCCCCTAGATGCGTTTAAAAACAGAATAGCCCCAAACTACGCAGGACATTATCCGCGTGAAAGTAGGGAAATAGCGTGAATGATTTCTTATGATGACATTTTGACCTTACAGTGTGGAGCATCATGAAGGGAAAAGTAGATTCACAGTTGAACCAGCTTTCTCACAGCCAGGTTGCTTTTCCAGAACTGTTGTTGTGCGTCCAAAGTAAATACTGGTCTGCCTCTGCCCGCCCCGGCAGTCTTCTGCCAGTGGTCGTCTGCTGTTTTTTTAAATCGAAAAGAAGTTGACTGTTGTCATCTCACTGTTACTGTCTGCTTTGGAGATAGTGTGTCACTTTGACCTTCCATTGTGTGCAGTCATTTGTCTGCACCTGGTGTAATTTATAGGTTAGAAATCATTCCGCTCAAACATTGGTAGCCTTTTTGCATTTCCTGGTGGATGACACATGTGACAATGTTTTGTAGCTATAAAAATTACCTGGAACCCCCTCCAAGTTTGTGCCTTACCGGTCACCACCACAGGACTTTAACAAGGGTTTATTTGATTGATTTGTCAAGGATTCAATTTAGAAAGCACTTCTAAGCATTGTATTTTATGCAGAATATTATTATTAAAAATAATAAATCTGTATCTTTTTTCTTTTTTAATGTTTTTGAGGTAAGAAAGAACGAACTTGGGGTTGGGGTGCTTGGTTTTAATGCTGGCTCTGCTTCTAACTACCTGTGACCATGACCCCAAAACATTTAATTTCTTTGGGCCACAATTTCCTCACCTGCTAAATGACAGTATAAAGCTAGAAAGTCACTAAAAATTGTGATTCTCTGGGCAGTCGTAACTCA